GATTTAGTGGACGCAGCCACACCAGCCATTACGACAGAGAACAAAAGGAATTACAATCAATCAGCCAATCAACCTCCAGAAGATCAAACCAAAACGCAATGCGTATCAATCAAAACAAGAAGAAAGCCATTAAAATAAAGGCATCGGCTGACCAATCAACTGTAAAGGAGGCGGACCACAATGTAGTACGCATCAAAAACGGACTAATGGGCTCACGAGAACGCCGTCTGCCAATATTCCAATCAAATCAAGAGATATTGCACGCTGTTCAAAAGCTGTAAAAATGCACGCAGATAAGGATAAAACACCCACCTAACCGCGCAAAATTAATTTCTACTCGTTTGATGACGCAACATTTGCAAATTAATTGCCGAACTTGGTGTGCAGCCGAATAGCTACTTGAATGGGGCAAATATTTTGCAAGGATTGAAAAGGCTGGATCCCACCTGCATATCGAAGTCGCGGAAGAATCCCAGGTATTTTTGCTCACCAATGCGTACCACGGTCTTTTCGAGTGTGCTCGACTGTCCTCTGGTATGAGAACAGCACCAATCACATTTCAACAAGTCATGAATAAGATGTTGAAGAATGTCCCCGGTGTTTCTGCTTAGTTGGAGAATCTCGTCGTCATGGATTTGGACCCCGATGAATCGTAGCAGCACCTTCATTGAGAATCCGACTTCAGCGTGCGCCAAGAACAATGCACTCTTTTCATGCGACCGACAAAGTATCTGTTTTCCCCTAACGACGAACACAGCCGCCATCAGATCTGGAAATCAATGACGCTATCAGACGCATGCATCTACAGACGGGATAACTCTCAGACCGTTCCTCGGTTTCCTAAGACACTGCAGTCCGATCCTGTCTGCAATGCATCACCTCCGAGGCCCAGTGAACAAGCCACTTACCTAGGATCACGGGTGGATATGAGCAGAAAAATTCCAACGCGTCTTCGACTAGGCCGAACCTATTCTGATTTCCGACTTGATTCTCACCTCCTAGGATTAGTTATTGGAAATTCCCGTGGCATCTGATACCTCGGATTGCCATTGAGCAAGTTACCTTGCACGCTTTCCCCGACAAAAGCAAGGAGGTCGTTGCAAATGCGACCACAGCTGCGCATAGTTGCAGCGTGCAGAAAAGGAAGGTCTGGTGATGGTGTTTGTCGTCAAAAAACTCCACTGGCGGACAGTTTGCCTTACTGGATGATCACAAACAGCTTTTTGCTGTTTTCGGCTCCGCTTATGGTCGGCGACACTTTGTCACCTCTCAGTAATTGCTGAAGTTGCCCACCAGGCTGCCGACCAAGATCTTGTCCTGCACTTAAAGTTCAGGTGCGCCAGAAGTCAACTACGGTGTGCCTCCCCACAAGAACAGCATGACGTATTATCACTATCGATGGATGATTTTGGTTTTATAAACGCATTGTAACTCCAAAAGAGATGCAGACAGTCATGCTGAAACGGTTTCACAAACGGCGACCTGGAACCAACAGATGGGAGGCCGTTGCTCGGAGTTACATTTGCTGATCCCTGGTGGTCTCCAGGATTGAACAGATCTACAAATGTAGCTCAGTGTTGAGAAGAAACTGAGTCACCCGTGATCGCGGACACAGACAACAGAATCCTGTTCTCGACTTCACATCAATTATAAAAGTCCAGTCACTGGTCAGCTTCCTTTGTTTGTAGTCTATGCTTACAAGAAGTTGCCCGGAATCCCTACTGCCACAACAATCCTGGGACTCAGAAGACAATTCAGTCACTTTGGAACTTTATGGTATCCGACAATGGTAGTTAGTTGACCTTGCCGCAGGACGCATTTTGGAGGTGCCACCCATGTCCGCTCATAACCTTTTCATCCACCATCGAATGGCTAGGCGTAACGATTTGTTGATACCCTAAAGAGTGCGATGAAAGGAATGGACCAACAGAAGGGATTGCCAATCCGCTCGCTGACTTGTCGAACGAAACCCAACTAATTCGCCCGATGGAGTATCACCAGCAGATGTATTGCCCTGACAGGAGCTTCAAACACCGCATGGGACTATATCCTGCCAGGGGAGAAGCAACTGTGTCATTGCAACCGGGCTCGCTGCGCGACCGCACAATCCTTTACCAAAGGCCACGGAGTACTGGTCCTCGGGTGACGCCCCAAATGGATATCAAGACCCACCCTTCGCTAGCAATGCAAAGTGCTGGCCCAGTCAGGTGTATCCTTGTCTATCTGTGACTGGCTCAACGACGTGTTACGTGAACTAAAGGTGCGGGTTCTAGTTATCATGTAACGATGTAATAAGTATTGGATGAGTACAAACGGAATATGATTGATCGAAAGTTTTAATGGACAATTTTCATCCATCTATGGGGTTTCAACTATTCCAGTGCAACCCGGAAGTTACCGAGAGCTGCATTTTAGGTTCAAACCTGTCTAGGGAGTACTCCAAGTTTGTCTGTGTTCGGAACAAATTTATACGGAGCTAGATTTGCAGTATGATGTATTGCGGGCGGGCTATCTATTGGTTACGCCTGCACTGAGCCCGCCAGACTACGCCATAAGAAGACAGAGAACGTGGGACACGACTGTATTGTCAGGACAAAACATATAGAGCTTCAGTGTGATATATCGGATGACTACAGGGCCAAACATGGTCGTTCACTTGTTCGTTCCGTACAGTCAATGATGTTCCGGTCGTGAACAATTTCAGCCCTACTCCACAGGTTGTATGTTGCTAAGCCGTGTTTGGTGAGCTTCGCCAACGCACTTGCTATCCGGAACGTGTGGTACCGATGACGACCTTGGGGATGCGTCGTTCTCTACACAGTGTTTTTTCATGTCTGGGCGCGTCCTAACACTTCCCCCTTTTGAAGATAGCTCGGGGTTAGATTTGCAGTGTTCACGAAACTGTCGGCTGAGCAAAAAATCATACCTTAGAGAACGAGTGAAAGGTCAGGGAGTGAGTATAACGGGGACAGAGCGAATGACTTGTTCTTTCAGTACTTAACTGTGGCCGCATGGCAAATTTATACCAATCGAATTTCATTTGGGTGAATCAGACGAGATACACACGGTCGAATTCGTAGTCACGATGGTTGAACTATTAGTTTCCCTACTTTTTCTAAACAATCGCTCATTTCTTGTTCCTTACAATTCAACCTCACCTACTCATAATGGTATACGAAGTCTGGGTGTGCGTTATCCTCATTATCCGAAATTCACCGGGCATCACAACCATCTGGTCATGAATGCACGACGAGATGATCCCACGCACTCAACGCTCGCCACATGAATGACTTCGAACTCTTCACAGTTAAAAACTGCACGCGGTCCTCCAGAATAAACATCAATATTCGGTTCACGATCAAACGCACGACCTAATACCTTTCTCTCCTCACCAAATCTGACTGTCCCTGTTGTACCGTGTGCGCGCACTGTGGCAACTGAATTGATTTGCAAATGAGTGTATTTCTCGAAAACAGTCCAATCTGGGTTCAAGTAGAACATGAGGTTGACGGAAACTAGGAGACTGCGCCTACCTGATGAGCCCAAATAAGGGCTAAATCGGTCGTGGGCTGTCGAAGAGTTTTCAGCGACCTTGTGAGTAGTTTCCTCTGTGAAAGAGATTCCGTCCTGTTATTTCCCTCACTGCTTGTCATCTATCAGTGTACAACTGCGTACACCTGGTCATGTTACCCGAATACACTTCCCTCACATTCTGTCGAGAAATATGGTTGCCTGACATCCAACAGTTGCACCACTGAACATCTGCGCATGCTTGTGACAACAAACGCTTGGCGCGGGGCTGTATTATTCTGTGGATCTGACGTAAACGGCGGAAATCGAATCACCAGGCCTGTTAGCAGGCACCAGCTGGCTCAAGTATGATGGTATTACACTGCGTGCTAGTACCAGGCTACGACTTATCCGTTTAGTCTTGAATGCGGACGTGGATCCGGAAAGACAAGGGCGTTCTGAGCTGCTTTCCGATCATCCAGCAAATGAATAAAGCGCTAATCATTGAAAATTTACAGCCGCTACGCTAATCAAGTGACAGCAGACACCTTTTCTGGTAATTTGGTCACTACGACTTACGTCTCTAAGCCTAGAGAAACAAAGCCAATATTACCGCATAACACTGGAACATTTTGTGACACGCCGAAGCGCGTTACGGAGAAACTGTTTCAGATCTCGTGCTGTATGTTTCATTCCTCGAAAAGGCGTCTGGATGACCTTGTCGAATCTTCTGGATACATCACTGCATCTGAGAAGGTATTGTTTGTATAAACCACTCACAGGGTTGCTGAAAACTCCTCGACAGCCCATGGCCTGTTTAGCTCTGCTTGCGGTTCATCAGGTAGGTGCAGTCCCCGAGTTTCCGTCAACCTCATGTTCCAGTCGAACCTCAGTTGGACAGATACGCTCAACTACTCTCAGCCGAATCCCTCTAGGCAACCATGTGAGTAGTTTCCTTTATGAAAATATACTGCGATATCGCGTAACAACTGAAACATGAGACAGCCTTTGTGAAATGTCCTCTGTACGTCAATCAATATAAATCCAAGGGAGATAAAACTGCGCGTGCGGTATACACTAAAATCCGTCGAGTAATTCATCAAGCAAATTTCGGGCAGGTCGTAATTTGCAGAATGCCTCATGAGCATGAAACGCCCATAAAACGGGAATAGGCATGTGGCAGTTGGCTTCGACCTCGAGAAACTACAAAAAAAATAGTTCAGCTGTAGCATCCTTTTGGTGCCTAACTGCCAAGCACGGATCCTGTCAGGTTGCCCAAGCCTAGACAGGGGAGGTCGAGAGGCAGAGCGCAGGTTCGAACCACGGACCTTGCGGTCAGTAAATTCGCGCTCTAAACACTGAGCCATCTCACCCCATCGAGAAACTGCGTTTGAACGATTTAGGTGACCAGCAAGATCTGCCCCCCTTCAAATACAGACTCAGCAACAACCTTCCCCGTTCCGAAAAAAAAGAATGAATGAGACGCAATAATTCTATCTTTTAATTACGTTGACTAAACAGTTGTTTATGATCGTTTACACAAGCGGACAAAAGAAAATAAAAAGTACAAAAGTTGTGGAGTTATCCAACAGATATACCAGGGGAAATAAGTAAGAGATGGTCGCTCAAAGAATGAATGAATGATCTGGATGACGAGAAGTTTGCATACATTGGGTTGAGAGGGACAATCCCTCATCTCCGGTGGTTTGGCAGGTGAATGGTAAATGCGAATGATTACGTTCTTCCAACTAATAAACCGCATTGATTTGATTGACAAACCGGTACCGAAAAAAATTGCACCCTTGTTTGTGTATGTGTACATTGTCATGCATGTCTAAACGCAAACGCGAGGAGTCATTTCTCACGCAAAAATCAGTGAATTATTCAACCATGACTGTCTGTACAGATCGGTAAAATCAGTGGGTCAGGATGAAGGTTAACAACGAGTAGCGATATGAGTCACGTGACGAGGAAAAAGCAAGCCACTGTGAAAGTAGACGACAACAGCAACAACACTGGAAAGGAGAGATTACCAAAGTTTCGGATGATGAGGATCGGTGCCTCTGGTATTTGGCGACGGGTCGTTGCCATGGATGATAAATAGGTCAGGATGAAGACTAGCTAGAGATTAGACATCACAGACTACAGCGTTACAAAATAGAGAGAGACTTGTTTGCCATGACTCAACCAGTGGACAGTGAGAACAGATTTCAAAGTTCTCGAGACTCATCATGGACTGGCTAGACGATAAACTGTTACTGGACTCAAACAAAGATTCGGGGTTTGTTTTGATGCATTCCCAAAAGCGCTTGTGTGGCTTCTTGCTGTTGTTGTAGCACCAGTTGCGATGAATACGCCTTTGGTTGCATGAAGCCCACAATTTCTGTGTAGTGCGAAGAGGTTTCGTCACCATGCGCAGCGCCAGCCCTAGGATCCACGGCTGGGTGATGCCCATCACCTGAAACATTCAACCCTTGAGGAACTGAAGCTCCGTATGTGCGCGTTGGTTGAGTCCTTCGTGGACTGGTGCCAAACAGAGTCATGGATGCGTAAGTAGGACCACCGCGGAGTGAGGATGTACCAGGTCTGCCGGATGTATGGTGATGAGTCGGACGATTTTGGTCGAATGCGAGCTCGACGTACTGTAGCTCCGACGCGTCTGGTTGAGGCAGTGAGCTAGACCGAGGCGCCGTATCCACCATATGATGGGATGAACTATAGACTGCGTCGTAGTGGTAATTCGGGTCGTTAACATAGCTGTTGTTGGGAATGAGCGGGACTTGTCCAGAGGATGCAGCGTTCAGGCTAGTCAACATCTGTGTTGACGGTTGGTCAACCAGTCGACTAGTGGGCGCTGCTCCCGGTCTGGCCATCTGTTGACCCTGAGCCAAAAAAAGGATAGAAGAGAAATAAACCTAATATTGTGTGGAGCACACCGAACAACAGAAAAAGTATGAATCGTTTGAACATGCAATTTTCACATGTGGTAACGCCAAGTTATCACGTGCATCAGAACACAGATGGAGCGAAATCCGAGGAGCGAGTCAGTTTGAAGGATGACACGGAGGTCGTTCTTTCTGTTCAAGAAAATCCGTTCGCGTATGTTAGTTGGTGTGTCGATGACAGTGGGACAGTACCGATGCACTCATGAAGAAAAACTGTGGCGCTGGTGAGCGTATGGAAAGCGGTCTTAGATAAGCCGAGTTGACACGTGACGGTGTGGTTGTCAATCCACATAGGGTCATTAGAAAAAACCGGGGGTGGGGGTGGAAATTCCAACCCGAGCAAAGGTCACAGCATCCCTCTTACACAACTATCTTAGCACTAGCTCACCCACACAGACTGACAGGAGGTTCAAACGAAGTTCAAGAGGGACCATAAAATGAACCGAACCAGATGAACTAGACCCCAGGCTGGACCCAAACACATGTAGGTTTCCCCACCGACCCAACACTTGTTCAATCATTCTAACACTCAAATCCCACGGCCGACACCCAACAGAGATTTAGCTTGACTTAGCTGATTGGTTCTCCTTCCGCCTTAAATCTCCACCAAACTCGGAACCTAGTCACTTGGCCTGACGAAGCTTTTGTGTCAAAAGCGAAACGTTGCCCAGCAATAAATCTACCGATTGTCGCCAAACTTTTTCGAAAAACTGTTCCTAATTGATCTTCTGCTTCAATTGTGGGTTTCGTCTGGCCTTATAGTCTGGATGATATTGATGTCACAACGGTCCGTGGTTTTGATTACTGTGGTAACCGACTGAACAGTTAGCTACACCCTCAAGATGGAAAATGGTTCTGAAATCAAAATATTCCTAATGCATAAGAAGCATGAGTTTCCAAGAAATTAGAACCAGACGTCGATGTGAAGGAGCCGTTCGACAACAGTGGACCTGTGTGATTGAGGATACATGGTGCTACGATTCTCAGGGGTGAGATTCAAGCGGACAGCCACCCAAACACTAGTAGCGCACATGCTACTCCTGTGTGGGAATTTGTATGTCGGAGTCGGTCGTCGAGGCTCATGGCCAGATGCTCATCATCTCACCAAGGATCAGACAAACCCAAAGATTAAGCTCGGCATTTTACTACTCATAAAAAAGGGGAAGATAGTGTGAACCCATGCATATAGTACTTGAATATCTGAGACAAGATGGAAATACCATAAATAATCAAACTGGAAGGGGGATTAACGATGGGTGTGCACATCCAGGAAGGTCCACATGCAACAAGGTGTTCCATGGTCTGTCGGGACTAGCTACTGAAGGCGAGAGTGTCATTGAAACATTGTTTAATGCCCCGTATTGGTTATCGGAACGGACCGACTTCGCTCTGGAAGTCAGTAGTAACGAACACCTTAGACGTCATTCAAACCAAACCGGTTTTTCGTGCCTCGATAAATAAAGATAATCGTTCAGTTGTAACACCCTTTCGGTGCCTAGTTGCCATGCCACCCAAAGGAAGCACGAGGGCTGGGATACCACCAAACTGCCTAAGCCTAGAAAGGGGAAGTCGAGAGGCAGAGGTCGGGTTAGAACCACGGACCTTCCGATCAGTAAATTCGCCCCATTCATGCCTAGAACGAAGCTTCATAATTCCGCTCCTGGGCATCATATACCACCACCATCTAAAAGTTGGATGGGACAAACTGGCAACTAACCTTAACTAGGTCACTCAGCCACAAGTACTCTTATAAAGCCTACAAGGGTCAGTCTTAAAAAACATGTATCGAGTGGCCGAAAATTGATCTCACGTTCGAAAATTGGGTTTTCAACAGATACCCCATAGCACGACCAGAAAGTGTCACACCGTCATGGAACCTAGGTCAACGTATCTCAGGAAGACTTTAAAGAACAAGAACAAAGCGCCTAGAGTTCCGGGGTGCCCAAACCTCTATGATTCAGTTTTCTACAGAACTTCCGATGTTTATACCTATTCTCGCTGGGTAGGACATCGGGCTGTTGAAACACTTCGTCAAGAACGTGTTGGTCTTTCTTGCGGTAGTTGACAAAGGATTCCAGTACAAACCGAACACTTGTTGACCTGGACTACGATAACATTCGAAATTGTTATGTCGCGCCCTCAATGGCACTCGTGCATCCAGGCTATTGCAATCTATGCATAGCTTCATTCCCGATTCCCGCACTTAAAAGTCCACTGACAGACCTGTATTTACGCACCAACTTATCAGCTCCCGTCTCCAATGCGCAGCTACCTATCCCACCTCTCCAAACCATCGGTGAACGACACTGTGGCAGGTACAACCACTGTACGACAGGTACGCAGTTCTTACAGCCGACGATGATGACATGCGGAAAGTACGGAACTGCTTGCTTCGTTATCGCGGTGAATGGGGTGGGCGAGAATTTGAATAAATGGCTTCACCGAAAACGAAAGACCAGGGAAAGCATAATAAATAAATAACCGTTCAGCTGTGACCACTTTTGGTGCCTAGCTGCCATGCAACAAGAGAGTTGCTCAAGCCTATACATGAGCAGTCGAGATGTCGAGGTTGGGTTGAAGCCGAACACCTTCCGGTCAGTAAGTTAGCGCCTTCACTTTTGGGTTATCAAGAGGTTATGGAAAGCATGGTGCTTCCGAATTTGATTAGCAACTGGTGAATAAAAGAGCAATCGGTCGTGGGCTGTCGAAGAGTTTTCAGCAACCTTGTGAGTAGTTTCCTTTATGAAAAACGCAACTCTTTCCAATACGACCTGCCCTGCTAATTCGCGTTTTTCCGTAGAAATGTTAGTTGCAGTCGAAAACCACTTGGGTGCAAATAGATTTGCATATCTTCAAACGCTATCAGTTGCGTTATTTTTGCTCAAGCCCGATAAGTTTCAGAAGTGGCTGAGTAGCGAAGTAGGTAGTAGTGTAGTTTGGCTTCACCTACAGCACGAAATCTTAAAAATTCCAGAAACTCCCCACACTACCAACACTTTATAAGTAGCTCAGTGGAAGAATAAATTCCACACGATGAGTGGAACTTCCATCTGAGAAGCCATTGCTCGAGGAGCCAGCCAACACGTGTGACCGCGTGATGTGGATACCGTGATAGAAGGATGAGAGGCGCTATATCCTTATTAGGTGCGAGTTAATCACACTGCTGATCAGCTGCCCGTGGCCGAACGGTTAAGGGTTCAACCTAATAGCCAGGAGGTCGCGGGTTAGAGACTCTCTGGAGTTTCGTGAAATTAGCACCGCTGATGATTCCCACAGTTGTACAGTGCTCCTCGGCTTCTTTTACAGGACGAAATCTCCACAAAAATTCCCAAATCTCCTCACACTACCAACAGTGAACTAGGTTTTAGAGTTATTCATGGTCGAGACCAAATTTCATTTAGAGAGAATTCTCTGCAAGGCAGAGTGATTTTCATCCTTCCTGTGGGTGTTCCTTTCATTGGGGAATCACGCTACTTTGAGCAACTTCAATTGGCGAACACATTTCAGACAAACGATTGCAAATGAGAACGGCATCAAGCACTAATTGGGTTGACATTACTTCAGGTTGCAAAACGAAGCCAACAGCATGGGAAACACATAATACTTGCGATGACAATGGCAAAGCTATCGAAATTCGTTGTGTCCGCCGCACCACACAAAGTGATTTGAACCTCGGGGTTCCCATTCAGGAGGGAGGCGGCAGTTTCGACCCGAGTGAGTTTATTGGTAGTATTTTCGTACTTCGTTGCCAGGTCATTCACTGTCCACCTCTCGGTCGCTTCAGCTCAGCACAGGGCTGAGCATAAAGAGCTCTGTGAGGCAGGCGGTCTTCCGACAAGCGGGGTACATGTCCTAACCAGCGTAACCTATGAATTGTGAGTAATTCATCTATCGCGGGAGAGTTCCTGTTAGTTAAGGATTTTTGATTGGTGGGAAACTCGTCATCTCAAAAAAACAGCATCAGTAAACTCCAAAAAGGCATAATACGGGCCCTAGTGGTAACAGTTATAAACCCTCCGTGATGTCCTAGCCTGATCTGAACGAAAACTACAGAGAGCTTTAGTCGGAAATAGATTTAAAAAAAGAACCGCCCGATCGCTTCCTCGAAAAAAAGTTACATGCTTTAAGGCTTAGTAAACTTAGTGCTTAGTAAACTGTGTTACACATTCGGCGCCCAGCATCCGCGGAAGAAACATGCCGGCTGTGATACTCCCAAGTTCACCAAGTCTAGACACGAGTAGCCGAGAAGTCGAGGTTAGGTTCGAGAAACCTACTTTCCGGTCAGTAAGTTTGAGCCATCTCGAGCAACTATTGCTGAGGGAAGTGGTCTGGCTCTGATCACTGTATCTCCAAATGATACGCTACCATACTTAGCTGGGGTTTCATAAGTGAGGTGCATATGTTGACCTACTTTTTGTAATGCACTACTCATAAGGTTGCTGAAAACTCCTCGACAGCCCACGACTGCTTCCGCCCCTCTTGAGGTTCATCAGGTAGGCGCAGTCTCCGAGTTTCCGTCAACCTTATGTTCTACTTGAAACCAAATTGCACGAAATTAGCGAATATACACTCATTTGCAAACTAATTTGGTTTTTCGACAGACTCACCTGGAACCCAGCTGAAACATCAAAAAACGAGAGATTCAGCTGGGTTCCAGGTGTGTCTCTCGAAAAACCAAATTAGTTTGCAAATGAGTATATTCGCTCACCTACTTTCGTGCGCAAGTTTCAGTTCAAAAGGAGCACACTGATTACACAGATTCATCGTGCGGAATCACTATAACGACGGCTGCATGTCATTCAGTCCGCCCGTCGGATTCTGTTAATTTGTGCCCACACAGACCGTTAGAGACCACACTGTTTCCCTGATGGCACTCACTGGTCGTGACCGGTTCGCGGGAAAATCTGGGCGACGAAAACCCCCAGTCTATTCTCCAGACATGAAAAGAAAGATCAGTTGGAGTCATGAACAGGAAGAAATTTTTAGGGGGGGGGGCATATTTCGGAGCGGTTCNTGCGTTACCGTGTGGCTCAGTGAAAGGCAAACGAATTTGGTTTTGACAGAGAACTTAACTAAATCTCTCGTTTGTGACAGTCAGCTTTCGAATAGCAGCTTCATGAATAGAGCGTAGCGTTTAGACAAGTCGTATAGAATTATTTAAGCCCAACATGTCTCGTTTTAGTGAGAGGAAATAAAATGTCATAAAAAAACAAGCACGGTACGCACCATCTGCGAAAACAAAAACGGTGTTGCGCTGCAGATGACATAAAAACACAAAAAGGCCATTCTCTAACCACTACTAGTACATCCAAGTAGTAGTAAACAACAGACCTACGAATTTTGTTGCAACCGACCATGCTGTTTGGGAAACGTGCGCTCGCGCATGCTCACAGAGACACCCACGCGTGCATTCGACTTTAAATGGACAAGACGAAAAACGATGAGCGTAAAGCGCCAGACATATCAAGCAAGCACGTTGTTGGGGGGAGGGAAACGATAGACAGGCAAACACGGTTCGTTCTCGTGTGTTAGCTTGATCATATTGATCGCCAGAACCGCTCAGTATAGATGATACTCGCTGGTCCAACAAACATTTCGTCTCTCTAACCAGCATTTTGCTCACCGTGTACATGAGTTGGAGCAGAGACATACTGCCACTGATAATCGTGGGGAGACAGATTGTCAGATGTGTGAACAGCAGCTGAGCAGGTGGGGAACAAGGTGTGTGTGTGTGTGTACTGCTCCAGCAAAGGGATAATCGAACGCCAATTGATTGATGCGACCGCCTCATCGGAACGCCGAAAAGCGAACAAAAGTTTTAAAAAAAGAAACAGAATTACGCGCGAATGCGCCAGCTCAAAAAGGAAATATTCCTAGAAGAGTATTAAGACAACTAGAGAGTATAAAAATACGGAAGCCTATTTTAGGGGGCGCGCGGGCTACAAAACAAAAGCTAGTCTAGGTTACGCTGTACAGCCACACGAAATCACACAGGTACGAATATCAGCCATCTTGTGCACGAAAGGAACGAAAGGAATAAACACGGTGACAGTGTCAAATCAGCATTGCGTAATTCGAAGAACCTGTTCCTCTGGTTCTGCTTCCTCCACCTCCTTTGTGATAATGTCTACCTGAGTTCCAAATTAGGGTGTGATGTGTCGTAAATATTGTGCAATCGGTAGTCAGATGGTCGTGCAAACGGGTGGGATAAATCAATGAACGAAAGCATGCATCCCCACGAAAAACAACGGCAATAACAGGGTGAAAAACGTACCGGAGACCACAAAAACAGAGAGAGAGGAGCGATAGGAAGAGGATTGGAGAAAGCGTAAGAATTAATTTGTGAAGCTGTGAGATAGAGAATCACAATTCCCTTGTTCTTGAATGAAATTGAATAGTACAAATACGGAATGCAGAAATAGAAACTTAGAAAAGTGATGCACAGTCTTGAGGGTCAAGGAAATACCCGTTTTCCAGTCCAATTGGCATAGAGATCCCCTATCTTTACAGCTACCATTTCCTGTTAGAATCGTCTCAAAGGACTGAGTCTGGCTCAGACCATTCGAGAAGTATTCAAAATATGAACCAAATTCCGACGTGGAACTACCTCGAATTTCATTGCAAGGACTGCCAAACGATGTTTTCCAGTGACCTAGTACATGTATGCCAATGGCTGAGCCATTGAACGATTGTCCAAGTCCACCAGTGTGTTGAACTTAGTACCCAGTACTAATTGGTTGACTGTCACAAGCAACTACCTACTGGTTTCAACATACAGCCACCAAGTCCGGGGCATGTTCCCTGATGTCTACACTCAGCTTTTACGTGAGAATACGGTTAACGGTGCGCTACCGTGTCCTGTTCACTATCAGTCGATGACTAAAGTAATCACTGAACGTTATGTTCCCCGAATGCGTGTACTATGCCGCGTGGAATCGATCAGCTACACTACATACTTGGTCTTAATGATAAACCGCCGTCGACATCACCCTCAAAGACATTCGCAAATGAATCACATTCTACCTGTTGGCCAGGCAACAGAAAACGCAACGGAGAAAGGAATCAAGACGCGTCGCCGTGTTCAAGCAGTGACCTCCTAGAAGAGTGTGTACGCTGGTGGCTGCCCGAAGCGCCCCCCTCGAGAAGCACAAGCTTTTAGCATTAAAGCGACTCTAACATGTATGAATAACACAATCAGACATGGCACGCTTGGGCTGAAAGACTATGGCAATCACAAAAAGCTGAAATATTCTGCTGAAGCTCCTTGCATCAAAAGGCGAGTGAGGGGCGGTAAGAGGCGATAAGTCCGTTGGGTGAATGAATATTATCGGAGTGGGTCGAAGGTTACTTCTAATGCCATTTCTAGTTTACGGTCTTTCTGGCGACAGATACCCCGAGCTGAACTGTTGACGTACATTTTTCTTGTTCATTGCATACCTTTGTTCCTCTGACAATAAAGTTGTAGGCTATAAAAGCCGTATTCGCTTGTTTTTCGCGGCAATCAACCTCACTTTCCTGAGCTAAAGAATTTTTGGTTCCTTTGGGGCATAGTGGTCGTTTGACATGGGTTGAACGAACAAGTTAAAGCGCACTCGTTTGCGTTGAATAAGATTCACAGAACCAGTGACCGCTGTAAAGCGAAAACAAACATGCTGCTATCGTTCTACACACGCAGTACCTAGTCGTGCGGCGTTAGTGACGCCATAACCCTTAATTACTTGAGGTAGATCCAAGCTAAACCAGCGGCCGGTACTCCGTGAAGCACAACCATCGTGGAAGCAGCTCGTTTGAGGTAGTCCCGAGGCCTTCAAAATTCGAATAAGAACAGGACAGTGGAATCATTCTCTACGTGGGATCACTCTATCTGCGGCGCCAGCACTACACCATTTCACTAAGTCAGTGGACGGATACACACACACTTGTTAGTCTATTAGGTGACTTTTCGGACAGCAAATTTGTTTTGTTTCCTCAAAAGCAATTTTCTATTTCCGGACATTTGTTAGTAGTACATTAACCTATACAAACCATTCATATTTCCCTTCTATTACCATTAGAGACCGATTGAAGGCGACCCTACCTGATCGGGTACTCGTTGATAATCATCTTTTTACGGTTCGTTTGGAAACGTCTCTGTGAAAGAATTTCGAGAACGTCAGGTCCACTGACCTCTGCTCACTGTATCGGCTTGCACGCCAACGGAATCTAGCTCTGAATCTGCCAAGAGCAGTTCCTATGACGATCCAGATGTTTTTCCAACCATGTGGTTTTATTGCTATACCGCATCTCCATGGAACGGTACGTACGGTGAGTAACCCATCGTAAAGTCGTTTTGTCAGAAACCTGAACACGAATCTAGGTGAAAGTAAACTACGTTCTAAATTCAACGCCCACATTAAAAGGGTAGGAATAAAGAAATAATGTTGTTTAAGCATAACACACTACTCATAAGGTTGCTGAAAACTTTTCGACAGCCCACGACTGGTTTCGCCCTTCTTGGGACTCGTCGGGTGGGCGCGGTCCCAGGGTTTTCGTTAACCTTATGTTCTACTTGAAACCAAGTTGCAAATGAGTGTATTTCGCTAGACAATACTGATGTTTCGTCAGTCAGAAAAACCACATATTGTTGTAAGACGTTCCATTCGCTGCATTGCAAAGTGAGGGCAAAATACTATAGGCGAACTTCAGAATAACGACCTTTGTCCACAAAATGTGCATGTCTCAGGGAAACTGAGTCGTTTTGATACCATATTTAAGGAGTTATTCTTGTGACACAGGGGTTTCGACTGCGCTCCGTTGATCAGACGCAAAACGTGCACCAAGGGCAGACCACTTTTAGAGCACTTGTCCACCGATAACAACGAAGACAAGGGTGGAACAGCCACTAGTTGGATGCGGTGGTCGCGGTACCGCAGACGCAGTGAGTTGTTGTTGGTTTCTGATCACCGGGGAATTAGGACAGTCGTTTGTTGACTGCCAATAGCTTCATGAGTATATCATGTCTGCCGACGTCACTGGCAGTTTCTAGGCTTTTTTCACGACCCGTTAACTGTTGTGATCCATTTTGGGGTGAAACCATTGTAGATTATGAATATGCAGATGATATCACGCTAAATTTCGTAATGGATGGGGAAACGCAAGCGTTTTTAGAAAAGTCGACCGGAGTAGTTGTAACAATTTGGTACTGACAGGTCTTAGAACTTCCAGATGACACTGCTCTAGACAAGCCGATTGTGAATAAGGGAGAGGTATTTTCGTTGTACACGTGCATCACAAAGGGCATAGGGTCCGGGGAGAAAAGTAACATATGGCGATGTTGAAACACGGTTGATACGTTTTCTTCGTAGTCTGCCCATTGTGCTTCACACTCTTGTGACTACCCAGAGAGGAGACCGATAGCCAAACTCAGGGCTTCGGTGTTGGAAACCACACTAGTCTCCTATGGGTTTGATGGGCGGCAGTGCGAGCCGTCGTAGAGCACTTTACCGACATTGATAACTGTATTCGTCCAGCCAGTAGCGTGACAGACTATATGAGCGCACGACTCCCGAAAAATGAAAATCCGCACCGAAACCGCAAATCGTTCGGCTTTAAGGTGATTTGTTGTATGGCGGTGAGGCTTGACCACTGCGGACAAAGGGTCTCAGGCGCCTTTCAGTCTTTGAAAACTGATGTCTCACATGCATAACATAAGCTGGTTGTGCAAACTTTTTCGCAACAGGATAACCAAAAAGTGGGTTTTGTTTGCAAAGTAGGCACTTCCACGAATCACTACATACAGCATAATACATTACAGTGGATCGGTCAGAGTTCACGTGTATCTTGAGAACCAACTGTTAACTCAGCCGGCCGCGGGTGGTAATTCTGCTCCCAAAATACAGTGAAGATCTACTGAACAAGGTTATCTACAACCGACCAACTGCTGAGGGTCACAAATCAGCTGCCAAATGAGAGAAGCGGGATCGAAGCTTGCTCTCGGAGGAGCGGCATCAAGAACGAACTTCAGATGCTATGCACCATTTGGAAGACTCAAGAAGTTCGCAAGACTCCACGGGTGTAACGACAATTCCTCTGTTTAAACGGAAATAGGGCGAAAAATGGACAACTTCCGTGAAATCAGGCTTCTATGCATGCAGACTTGAATCACACTCAGCCGACTGATCGCCAGCATTTCGCAGAACATTCCTGAGGGTTACATTTCGAATCCCGTGGAGATCGAAGTAAGGTTAGCTTGATTTTCGACACAAAAAATCGAAGAGGAATGGCGTGAACAGAATCAAACTCTCTGATGCCTGTCAACCGATCGCCCACTGGACCGCCCGAGCATGAAAGCGGTGTGAGATCATAGCGAATGGAGTTAAAGGAAACCAGTCGTTCCCCAAGAGGGATCTTCTCCCAAGAGAGACCACATCACTCGGGCCCCATGAGTTTCGACATGAAATGAATACCTTCGAGGGTCTCGAACCACAGAGTACCCATACAGACAATACTAAATAGTTGTTTATTTGTTCGCGAAGTTGGACAATTTGGTTGCCGGAAACATCTCATCACCAATCGACAAGTGACTGGCACAACCGTGGGCTCATTGCTCCGTTCCACGCAGCACCCTGAAGAGTCACATATGAACCGTTTACGACAAAATCGCCCAACTCAGGAAACAAACCAACAACCGTCTACGCCACATGAGTTACAAACATTATTTTCAATAACCCAACTAGATGGCCCTCACAACAAAGACTGGGATTCAAACTCCAACAACTTGGCTATCAAACATTCTTATATCAATTGA